ATTCTTCTGTGAAAGTTTTGTACGAAGGGTTGCGTGCCTGTCTTGAACTCGTCGTTTGCGCAGACCTGAGACTGCAACTCCTGGGTCTGCGCGTAGAAAATTTAAACCAAAAATCACCCGAAGTGGGATAACTGTATATAGTATACTCTGTTTCTGTGGTCATTGAGAGTTATTACTTTTTTCAGTGTCACCAATATAGGCATTTTAAAGATTTTTTTCAGTGTTACCAATACATGCCTTTTAAAGATCAATATTGATTTGTTGCTTGTTTCGACCCTCGAATTCCTCAGATATTTCTCAAAGAAATACTCACCCCTTCTTGTATTCTCTTAGTTTATATTATCAATTATTTCTCAGATGAAACACAATGAAACTTTACTCTTGAAATCTTTATAAATAGTCAGCCAAGTCCACACAGAAAATATAAAACAGCCATTTTAACATTATCTGCTTAGGAAAGAAAATACTAATGATGAAAGAAAACGGAATATATAATAGGAATACTTTATTTCCCCATGCTATTTTTCTAATAAACATCACAGGAAATCACAAATACTGCAGTATTACACACGATAAATTAAAAATACATTAATTATATATCTCCTACATTATATATAAATATATTTCAAAATAAAACCTCCGTCACTATCCGAACTATGATATGTCGTTTGAACTGGCTCTATGTCTCCTCATTCAACTGCTAGTTAGTATCTGTATCCACCGGAAGTGTAAGTCCCTTCTCCGATTCCGGGGCGGTACTGGCCTTCATCACCTCTGTATCCTCCTCTTGCTTCTTCTAACCTATTTGCCTCGAGAGATCTGAAAGAAGCAGATGTATGTCGATTCAGAAAACAAGACCGTGGATGTGGTAACTGATTTGATATTGTTTTATCACCACAAGACCTTGAGACATTGTAGTGACATGGCTGCTGTTGCGTACAGTTGCTGATAGATGGTGTTTAGATCGGAATCTGTGACTTATCCAAAATATCAATATTTGTTTCGATATTTGCTAGTATTTCCCATGCCATGGGTCAAATTTAGCCTGGTTTATGCGTCAGAGTCATGGGAAAGTGGTCGACAGAAGTCGTAGGCTAAGTAAAGTGTACCCACTGTGGGTAGGAATACTAGTCACACCTCGAAATATCAGTCATGTTTGTGTGCATCCTACTCGCTTCATTCACTGTGGTAACTGGTTTTGCATAATAAATGAACAAACTCGTCGTTATTGTTATTATATCGTTATTAATCATGTGAAATATGAAATATGGTCTATCAGATTACATTTGCTACAATAGGTGAAAGTTTAAATACACAATAATTATATCCGCGTTTTTAAAACAAAAGTACCTCACAGCAATTTTGAAATATCATAGAAATCCATCACTGAAGATCTAATAAGAAATAATTGGGCAACTATTTTAATAAAAATTGCAGGGTGACGCAAATATAATAACTCAGAAGATAGGTATTTATTAGTGGGTATGACAGTATTAGATTTCACAACTTGCAGTTTTGGTGGTTTCTGATTATCTTGAAACAAGTGTACGGATTTTGTACAAATCAAACGAGTCCATTTTACCTAATTTACATTTCTGTGAACTAAGACACCATCAACCATCTAATCAAGGGCGGGTGGGGAAGGTGGGAATGGGGCTCAAGAGATACCTCATTCGGAACGATTCATCCTTGTGCAGTTCTTCCAGTAAGTCAAGTAGGAACTGAAGGCCATAAGTCTGGTGACCGAGGAGGTCATTCTTGTTGAAACATAATTTCTTCTTCAATGCATATGTTACCATTCCCTGTTATTTTAATGAGAGCTGTGTTATGGCATTTTGGAGCAAATGCGGGTAGAAAACACCTGATGAAGGAAGAAAAAAAGGACCCAGAATGGAATTGTCAAGAATACCAGCACGTACGTTCAACTCATGAGGGTTTTGTACGTTTGGGATCTTTCGAAAAACTCACATTCAATAGGAGATTACTACTCAGCCAGCTTTCGCACATAATTTCGCAAAAAATGCATGCATTTGTTCATTCGCTGTTGTTTGGTTTGGTTTTGTAATGGCTTTTAGATAGAAACTGGTCCCCAAAACAAAGTGCAATAACAAGGAAATCGATGAGAAAAGAATAGTCGCCAAAAAGCCTCAGAAATACTTTGGCGAACCCACCAATAACATTGAATTCAATGATTTTACCTCAAAATAGCATCTGGGATCGGTGGCGGGGTTGGTAGATGTGCTCCGACGGGTCTGAATCCATTCTCATCGGCTACATACTGCAAGCTGATCCTCTGGCCATCGGGAGCTGTGTAAGAGAAACCACCTTCAGCTTGTTGGGCCCCTTCAGGCCCCACGTTCTTCAAGAATCCTCGCTCTTGGGCAGCGATGCCGTTGCCAGTTTCGTAGAGCCAACTGTAGCTGCCGTCGCCTTGATTGGGGTTGTTCTCGTATCTTGAAGAGGAAGATACATGAGTTATACTGTACTGATAGGCCGGTGCAAACATTTTTTAAGAAGTAATTCACCTGATTATTGGAATTTGAGGTCCGCTTCTGTATCCAACGCCAACTCCCCCAAATCCTGTTCCGATAGCTCCGGGGACTACCCCGATTGGGGCTACGTAGCCTCCAGTACCAACTCCTCCGAAAACTCCACCCGTTCCGAACCCTGTGCCTACCCTTGGGGGTAGGTAGGAGGAGTCTAGCCGAGCTCCGAATGCTATTCCAGCCAGGGTGGTGAAAATTGTCTGAAAAAGTGCATATATACAGGGTGTGTCATAATAATGTCTATAGACATTATTATGACACACATTTATTGTCTATAGACCAAATCCAGCTGACAAAGCCTACTAGCTGAATACAAATGAAATTGCCACAAAAAAACGAAGTACCAACCCACAAAAATATAATATAGAATATACAAGTTTTCTGTTCAGAATCGATCATTGTAAAATTCATGAAAACTATACTATGGTCTTGTGATGCAGTTTGGAACTTTTGGTGTAGAAAACTCCACTAATATTTATAATATGGTCTGGTTACTAATAAATGTTTGATGTTTTTCCTGAAGGGGTCAATGTTCAATCTTCAATAGGCCAGATGAAGGCAAAGATAGGTTACTTTATTGCACAAGACAATTTCTGAGATGAAAAGGGCTGCTACTGTCAGTATTTTTCGTTTTCAGAAACTTGTTCGCATGAATCACGTGGATTCCTTTCATACATATATCTTGATTTTCAAATGTTCAATGTGTTTCTCAAATTTTGAACATTTGTACAATCTATACAATCTCATTATTAATGATTTCATTCTGGAAGAGTAAGTAACCCAATATGCGTTCTAGAGACATCAATCTCGTTTCATTGACAATGTTTAATTTATCTCTAGATACCTTCTTTTACAGACTATTCGCCGATTCACTATGCCAGTAAATGTGGTATCGTTCGCAAAAGAGTAAATGTACCAGATGCATTGATATTGTTTCGGTCCCAAAATGGAACTCTGGGGAACACCTGAATCAATATTCAATTTATTAGATATTTCATTTGTTCTCGCCATCTGACTTTAAACTGTTACATATCAATTTAGAATTGGAAAAATCAATAAACAATTTTATTTTTAACTGATAACTGATTTTTACCTGATATTCTTTACCTCCATCAACAAATAATAGCATATTAATAAGATATTTCAAAGTAATGAAAGTTTTACATTCCCAAGATTTCCATGGGTAAAATAAAATTTGTACAATGAGAAAAATATGAAACTATGATTATTTTTTGAAGATTTTTCAGGAATCGTGGAATAATTGTGAAGAATTCGTTTGTAGTATAGTCAGAAAAGTGGGGACAATATTTCGAATATTATTTGAATTATCGATTTTCTCTGTATCTGAAAATTCGAGATTGGTTATTTCATTTATAGAAATATATCAATTTCAAGGTAAGGTAATAGTCAGCAACAAAAATAACATGAAAAACTAGACTGAATCTTCAACCAACTGGAGTACCGCAAGGTTATGTACTGGACTCGATACTTTTCATTTTATATAAATGATTGAACGGATCTGTGACTGATAATCACAAATTCCTAACTCAGATAATTACCTTTTAAATATTTTGGAGATATTTTAGTCAAGTGAAATCGATTTTGAGGTATGGAGTGTATTTTTAGGGTTAGTTCTTACATGAGGAGAGTGTAATGAGGTAGAAAAATGGAGCTGTGGAATTACCAAAGCTCTCTTCAGGACGGAAAACTGTGACTGTAGATGAAAATTACAAACTTGCAGTTGGAAGAAAAGTACATTAATTTTATTTCAAGAAAGAATTATCGACCACCGACAAAATAATGACAGCCTTGAAAGAAGATCAGAGTATGTGTCCAGTGATAGACAGACAGAAATTGTAAAACACTTCAAAGACATTGAATTTCAGATGAGAAAATAGAACAGAAAATAGCGTTATTGTTATTATATCGTTATTNGAATGCCCTGATAAGAACTATTGTCTTGACTCAGTTTTAAAATTGTGGCATTTCTGGGTGAAATTGAAAATATGTATGTTTAGTTTATTAATTGGGTACCTTCAAAGTGTTCTTTTTTAATTTGCTAAACAAAAATGGTATTGTCGGAGAGGCAGCGTATCGAAGTCTTGATATTGTTGGAATGTGGGGATAGAATGCCGAGTCAAAGTGAGGTGTGTACTTTATTTAATGCAAAATATCCGGAAAATCACATTTCCCAGGCTACTGTGAGTAAGATCTTACACAAATTTGAAGAACATGGTACCATGAACTACTTGCCCAGAAGTGGCCGGTCACATGTTTTAGACGAAGATAAAAAATTGGACATTGCCGTATCTCTGCAGGAAGATCCATGGTTGTCAACGGTTTCATTAGCCCAAAACATTCCTGCGTCTAGACGTACGATTGGGAGGTTTTTGAAAACAGAAAAATATCAGCCATATAAGGTATGTCATGTCCAAGAGCTCTTGGAAGATGACTAAGACAGGCGTTTGCAATTTTGTGAGGAAATAATGAGGCGATGTGACGAGAATAATGGATTTCCACTCAACATGCTCTTTTCAGACGAAACTACTTTTTATTTACATGGAATAGTTAACAGGCACAACTATCGATTCTGGAGTCTGGAAAACCCACACTGGATATGCGAAGCTCGTACGCAGCGTCCTCAGAAAGTAAATGTATGGGCAGGCATCATCAACAACAGAATATTTGGGCCTTACTTTTCTGAGGAAAGCCTTACAGCAGCACGCTACTTAGACTTTTTACGCTTTGAATTAGTCCCTGCTTTAGCTGTTTTGTTTCCCTATGAAGCAGATCCAGATATCCCCACTGAAACACTTTGGTTCCAACAGGACGGCGCTCCCCCACATTTTGGTATCAATGTCAGAGAATATCTCGATGACATATTTGCAGAACGCTGGATTGGACGACGTGGTACAATTGAATGGCCGCCAAGATCCCCAGACTTAACGCCATTAGATTATTTTCATTGGGGTTATATGAAAGACAAGGTTTATCAAAATAGGCCGGCTAATATTGAAGATCTAAAAAGCAGAATTAGAATGGAATCACATAACAAACCGGCTGAGGCCATTCGGAATTCCGTAGACGGGTTTTACCATCGCCTAGGAGCCTGCCAAGTAGAGGGTGGAGGCCAATTTCAGCATCTGTTACGTTAATTCAGCCGTAGATAGCACTAAGTTAGGTATTTGTAACTTTTCTAAAGAGTTTTTTCTCATTTCGTTGTACCCACAAAAAAAATAAAGGGTATGGTCAGAATCCATCTTTTACGAGCCCATACACGACATAGGTTTGCATTTGAAAAAAAAAGTTGGGGAGGGTTGCAGCTAAGGGGTTGAAAAAAAAAATGAAAACTGACGTGTTCCAGTGTTTTCTTCCTAAAATACTGGTTAAAAAGATATTAATTTTATTCCGGACTTTTGCGCACCCCTGTATAAGACGACTGTAATTGATCTCTTAAAATGAGTTTTATGGAAATTTACTTTGAATATGTTTTCAATATATTTTGAATACATGAATATCTTTTTTTATACAATAACAAAAATATTCCATTTGGAAAAGGCTATTATTATTATATTTTTAATGTTTTTTTGGTATGAGGGGTAGTTTTAGGAAAATCGTTGAACTTTTCCAGTAAGCTTACTGCAAACTTTAAACTACTTTGATAAAGGTAAAAAGTCTTAACCACATGGACCAGACTATAAAATTCCAAAGACAACTCCCATCTTCGAAACTACCAAAAAATACCAAAACAAATCGAGAGCAATCTCCACAAAACCGCCACTTTTCACAAACCACCACTTAAAACCCCTCCACAACAACCCTTCACAAGAACTAACTATCTACTTACTAATTTCATGATGTAAAATGTTGGTATGATCCGTAATGCCGATACAATTATTATTTATAGCTGCCGGACGGTCCGGCCCGCACCTTTTCATCGAAAAAATCGCCCCCCCCTTGCACCCTTCGCGAAGATGAAGAACATCGACATTTCGAAAGGATTTCTTAATTTCAATCCAGATCGCCTGCCCATGGGCTTCAAGGATGATGCACGCTTCATTCAATTATGGGTTGGGTTGGGATGAGAACTTGGTCGTTTTGTTCGATTACATTTTTTAGTAGATTCGATGTTAAGTTAAATTGAATGTTTGCTGTAATTGCTGATAATTGCGTTTGAGGAGTATCGGATGTATCCATAATGTGTTAAAATTTGAATTCGGAATTGATATCATTATGGATAAATTCGTAATTCAGAACCTTGTGTTGCAAGTCATTAGAATTTTTATTGAATTGCTATCGTTATGCGTTGCTTGGACTTGCAGTGAGCTTCATTCGTTTCGGATGGTTTGTCTAATTCCTTCTCAGCTATTTCTTCATAACAAATATGTTCGGGCATCTTGATTAGAAGTGTAACACCTATCGAGGAACCTGTATGCTCAACCAGAAACCCTTCTGGAAACCTAAAGACAGTATACAGGGTGTAACTAAATAAGTGTATAACATTTAAGGAGGTGATTCCTCATCGAAAAAAAGATAGGATCTTTCATATAAAGAAACTTCATTGGAGCATCCCTTGTTAAGATACAGCCCCTTAAAAGGGGTACATAAAATTTGTATGAAAATTTTTTTCACAAGCACTAAAAAAGGTACAATATTGAAATTAACCTGACGTTTTGTACTACCAAAAAGACACTTAGCCAGTAATTTATTTGGTTTACCCAATGGTTGTAAGGGGTGGAAAACGCAACCCCTAAAATTTATTTGCACTGTAACTTTTTGTCTTATTATTTGTTTATCATTTGAAAATTAATTTCCAATAGCCTGTTTCATTCTAAACAAAAAATGTCTCTTGGGTTTTTTGCTCAAAATANGAAGATTTATCGGAAGTTTTTATAAGATTTTGATAATTGTAATTTAGGAAAGGTTGATAGATGTGTGGTTTTGCTAAACTGTGGCAAGTAAAATACATACCATATATTATAAAAATTCATTTATTTTAAATATAAATGCTGTCTTATGGTTCCATGCAGTTGAACTATTACTGCTAATTTTGAAATAAATTAATTCATTGCCAAAGAGAAGATTCTTTCACCTCTTTTCATACTCTATTTTATATGATGATAATATACTTTTTTAGCATGAAATAAATCATTGTTACAAAGTTTGTAATACCAAATGGAGTAAAGAACAGTACAATGACAAACGTCTATAATTAGCAAATACTATCTCTACTTAATGTATTGATACACGTTAGATAACTCATGTAAATTGAAAAAAGAAACACCCAGAATGGAGCCCTGTGAAAACCTACGTTTGAGTTTTTCTATTATTTTCTATATTTCCATCGGAGTCCCCACTGCAGTAATTACCAATAAGTGCAAAGGAATATTATTGAATATTGTCGTAATAATTCCAGTGGCTATTTTTTCTTTCTTGTACATTTTTGAATAGTTTTTTGTGTTTGTCAAATTTTTCTCATTTTTAAGGAATCTCTAATTTTACAAAGATTTTGATTTCTGATTGAAAATATTTCTGTAATCGTTCAATTAGAGCAATTCTTTTTTCGAGCTGATCATATATATCTGGATGAATAATTGTAACTGAAAAGGAGATCATAAAGAAAAAAAATTGTTGAAACATTTTATAATCTTGTTCAAATTGAAAGAAGTATATTTTTAGGAGAGTTTAATTTTCGAAAAAAAAAGTTTTGGCTTTTTTACTTTCATGGGAAGATTCCTATATTTTTGTAAAACGATTGATTAGTAAAAAGCCAAAACCTCTTTTCCTGAAACATAATGTGTTTTTCGGCAGCCGTGACGATTCCAGAAACGGTAAAGAAGCGACGTTTCAAAGCAACAAAGCAGAATTCTTGCGTCGTTCCATAACCATGGATGAAACATGGGTCCAGAACTTCACACCCAAGACAAAAAACAATCAAAACAGTGGACTCAAAAGGTAAGAAAAACTCGTTGCAAGTTTCTGTAAAGAAATCAAACAAAAACGGCCGCATTTGGCTTAGAAAAAAGTATGGTTTTAAAAAAGACAATGCACTAGCTCACAAATCCATTACCGCAATGAACAAAATTAACGAATTAACCTCATGCATACATGCTTCGCAGATTTAGCCCC